ATCTAAGAAAAATTTGAACACTAAATATTAAGCACTAACTTTTGTAAATAGATCTGCCTCTGAATAGCTTCAATCTCAAAGACAATTTTAGGAAAATTATCCGTAGAAAATGAGGAAGCAAACTACCTTGAACGATTGCAGAGAACATGAGTTTTTAGAATGTTCCTTTGCAAGCATGATTAAAATGATGCCGGTGTATTACTGTGGAAATAAAGCTTACAGGGCGTTTCAAGTAAAGACACTGTAGTGGATAGTGTCAGGTAGGTGACCAGGGCCTTTTTTAGTCTTGGGCACATCTCTGGACTTGAACACTTTGCCCTCAGAAATAGATGGAACTTTTAAAGCCAGAATCTCACCATTGTGAGCCCAGCTGGCGGGAGGCTGGGCGTGAACATCAGATCTGACAGCTGGCAGTTGAAGGTGACCTGGCAGGTGTGGTTTTGGTGGAGCGGGGGGGACTGAGTTCAGGAGAGACTGGAAGGCGGGGAGGAAGAGGTGACGAGGGTGGGCAGGGCAGGGACTTCTGCTGTAAGTGTCACAGCTGTGCGGTAGTAGCTGGGGGGTGGACGACACGGGAGGACCTTTGTAAGGTGGGCGATACTGCTGTGTGGGGAGGGAGGAGGGGCCGGTGCAGATGAGTGAGGGTGGGTGCAGAGGCGCGGGCGCACGCAGGTGAGCAGGACCCTGACTGTGGAGCAGGTGAAGCGCTTGTAAGCCTTTGCTTTTTCGGTGGCATCATGTCCTGATAGACCCTAAACACCGGAGGCCAGTGTTATGTGCCATCGGTCATAGGCTTCGCTGAGCCACGAGCCCCAAGAAAGTGTGTGTTGAAGACTGACTTTCCTGTCCTCTCTCCTAGGTTCCGTGCTATGCGTTTGACGGAGAGTTCAGAAAGCATGATTTAAACCCGCTGATCAAGCTGAGCGGTGCTTACTTGGTGGATGACTCTGACCCGGACACCACTCTGTTCATCAATGTTTGCAGAGACATAGGTCTGAATCTTGGGGGGCGTGGGCGTGGGGGCGAAGAGACTTTTAGAAGGCTTCAGTATCTTTGCCCTCCTCCCTGTACTCACCTCCTTGGATATCCGTGTCCCACCACATTCTCTGTACAGCCCAGCCCCGGGCCCCAGTTAGCTCTGACTCCATCACGAATGCCTTCCCCACTGTTGGTCCATCCCAGTGTGTTCTCTCTGCCAGACACTGGGTTTCAAGATTCCCAGGTAGATCTCACTTGCAGTGCGATGGGGGGGAATGGACTGACTGGGTGTGCTGGGGCGCCGGGGACGGCCGAAGCAGGATGGAGTCAGAGTTCCCGGGGAGCCGGGGGTGAAGGACTGTCTTGAGCTGTGTGTATCTATGCCCCTTGGCTTTGAGTTGAAGGCTGGTAGGAGAGAGAGGGTGCCCGGAGTCCTGGGCCACTTAGTCACGACGCGTATTTCCTTCTGGGCTGACTTCTTGCCTCACTTCCTCTGAAGGGGCCAGAGCTGGTGTGAGGAGCTCGGGAGTCTTTGCTGAATTAACTGAAGGCTGTACATGGTCTTTATCTAATAGGGCCATGAGAAGCGTTCACTAAGCCCATGCATGTGCTATCAGTGATTTCTAGAAGCCAGCTTGATGTTTCTTTCAAGGATTATGAACTGTTAGTCCTGTAGGCCAGGACTTGGCCTTCTGCTATGCTGGCAGCGACTGTGCCATTAGTAAACTTTGCTCATAATTAACTAATAAAAAGTTCATTTTTTCTGTGTTTTCCTTACATTCTTATTTCTCACACAGTACATAGGATTTTGGCCTTAGGAAAGTTTGGAATAATGTTTTAAAAATAAACAGTATATGCTAGTATTGCTGGGTAATAAGCACATGAGTATTAGTTTACAGTTATTCTTTAAATTGTACGTGTACTTTATGTACCATTTTGTTTATTTCTAAACAGTTTTAAAAAGTGAATATACCACATACAGGGTTCAAGAATGACCAGTGATCATTTAAATTTTTTGTGTGTCAGGTTTTTTACGTCATTCTTTTTTTCTCTGACGACAGCTTTTATTGTTCTTTTGGGAAAAGGTTGATAGACAAAGTCTTTGTCTTAAATGGGTCTATAGCTCAAATTTGATTAAAAAATTGAAGTCTTAAAGATTTTGAATTCTGAAATAATATGCTATTTTAGTTTAGAAAACATTTAGATTTCTGTTTTTTTCTATCACTTTTAGGATTATTCGAACTCACTGGGTATGTTCCTATAAGAATTTTCTTCTTTCCGATTTACCGGCTGTTCGAGCAGAACTTCGGCGCCGTTGGTTCACTTGCGGGTGGGGGGGTGCCTCAGTCTTTGCCCAGACACTCTCCCTCCCCAGGAAATGGCTCTGAGCCTCCCCAGGTTTGAAAGTGACCCTCACAACCTCAGGGACAGTTGTAGCTTTCCTGCTGTTGGCTTAACTCTTTGCACACCGAGGGGCACTTGCCTCACATTTGTCTTCAGTAAACCAAGCGGTCTGTCCACTGTGCGTCCCTGTGGGGGCCAGGAGCCCACACACACGGCACAGCAGAGCTCGCTGTGGACTGAGACCATCCGCTAGCGAAACCCCGTGATGCAGGCGTGAGACCTAAGAGTTCACTGTCTTCCTCATCACCTGGTGGCTCCTACGGCAAACTGGGGAAGAGGTGGTAACCCTGCCCGCGTGGGCTGCTAAGGCTTTAGTTAAAGCCCAAGCCAGCCGATATTTGCTCACTCATGGGGGAACTAACTTGGAACCCCTACTACGTGCTAGGCACTGACTGAGACACCGAATTACAGCATTGACCACACGGAAGTTCCTGCTCTCATAGTCAAGTGGAAGAAGCATAAAATAAGTAAAACCCATGACGTGTGTATCAGATGCCAGGTGACGATCACAGTGACGCAGCGTGGGGCGGGGGGGCACGGCTGTGTCATTAATGGCCGTTGCAGCCGGCAGTCTGTAAAGTCCAGGTGTGGATCTCGACATACTTAGCACGCTCTTTTCCCAGCCCGCCCCCAAACTGGCAGTGAGAGTCGTGTAGTCAGACCAGAGTTGTAGGGGGAGTGAGTGGCGGGTCTCAGATTTGAACCCAGAACCGTCTGTGGGTTCTTTCCCTGATCTGCTCATGTTCCCACTAATAAATGAAGCACCCACATTGTCTAGTCTGTTCACAGCTTGAAACGGAGTCGCGCTGAAGTTAGGGTGTCTTTAGGGGAAAGGGGGCACATCCTTAGCTACGACTTCCATAATAGCTCCCGTTTCCTGGGCACCTCTGATGCACCAGCTGCAGAGCAGGCAGCTTGCGTTGCCCCCACTTCCCTGCAGCCCTGTAGGCGGGTGGTGCTGCACTAATTTCTCACGTTCAGAGAGGCTCCTGGCTTGTCCCGCGTCTTACAGTGGGGTGCGATCCTAGCTCTTGTTTCTAAACTCGTTTACTTATGGAGACTTAAAAACATTCAGCGCTTTTTTTTAAGTGGACGCTGGACTTAAGGTTAAGTGTCATCACCACTCCTGACGCCTAATCTGACCCAGTGCGTATGTAATGTTTTGCAGACTCGCTGCGGGGCTCAGATCCTCAGCTACGTGCCTGTCCGGCCGGCACTGCCGCCTGCCTGGTGCGCGGGGACCAGGCGTTCGACGTTGGGCAGCCCAAGGGCGGACTGAAGTTCGTGGGCAAGGACAGGTCAGTCTGCAGCTGGCGTTCGTCATCCTTAGCAAGATCCTGGCTTTTCAGTTTGTTGCACGCTGATTCCTGCAAAGTGACTGTTCCACACATGCTCGTACAGTCACTGGTCACTGCCACAAGGCATGTAGGCTCGCTGGCCGAGCGGCTCTCTAATCACTCGTTTCTGAGAGCTGTGGAAACATATCGCGATCCAGCTTGCGTCCACATGTGTCCTTCATGCACAAGACCCACCTTAAGGTGCGCTCTGATACTCGCCATGGCAAGTCGCCCGCGAAGTCAAGTCTGTGTCCGTGCTTATCTGTTCCTTGTAAACACCATCCTGCAGGGCGAGAGGCAGGAAGGGCATTTTACTGGCTTCCTTCCAGGGCGCAGAGGCTGCTTCCTGACTGGGGCACAGCGGCACCCGAGTTCCCAGGGGGTGGCTCATTTCTCATGAGAAGCTGTGCCGCTTACACACGCTCTTCTCCTGCCTTTGTCCCCTGACTTGGCAGAAAGATGTGTTTCTCCAGAGATCCACATGTGACCCTGGCCGGAACTGGGATCAAGCATTTTGATTTTCTCCCCATCTCAGGGGCTTCGGATAGATGGCTCGCTGCAGCCCGTCCTGGTCTGGAGCTAGCGGCATGTCAGGGCTGCAGTCACAGATCACACGCGTGCCCACGGGCAACGTGGGAGCATGACTGAGGCTTAAAATGTGGGGAGACTCCTGTGTGTGCACTGGTTTGCCCGGGCTGCCGTTACTCTCAGTTCTGGAGGCCAGAAGTCCAAGGCGTCAGCGGGGTTGGTTCCTTCAAAGCCGCTCTCCATGGCAGGCAGGTGGAGGTCTTCTCCCCGTGCCCTTACATGGGCTTCCTCTGTGCACGTCTGTGTCCCAGCGTCCCCTAATAGGGACACTGGTCATATGGGACCAGCCCACCCTGACAACCTTTTCTTTACGTAATCACCTCATTAAAGGCCTTATCATCAAGTGCAGTCACCTGCCGAGGGGCTGGGGTTAGGGCTTCAACATATGAATTTTGAGGGGTGGGAGCGGGCATAAGCCAACCCGTGACATTGTCCTGAGTGCCACATGGGTGATTCTTCATTCTGGGAGGGCTGGAGAGGGCGCCGTAAAGTGTGGGCGTGAAATGAAAGCCGGAGCTTGTCTCCAGAGAGAGGCGTGCCGTCTGGTTTTGGTTACGCTTGGCTGGCTCGCCAGGAGTGGTGGCTCATCCCACAGTGGGCCCAGCACACCCTCCAGCGGCTCCGGCCCTCCTGGCGTGGCCGTGGGAGGCCGCGTGGATGTCTTCTGCTTCAGAAGGCCTTCGGCTGGCACGGGGTTGAGGACACCGACCTGCAGCCTCGTGGGCAGAAGTGCGCTTGGCCTGCTCAGCCGTTTGTTCTGTTTCGTTAGGTTATTTACATATTTTTTTTCTGTTTTACTCTAACAGCTTTTCTTAGTATTTAAATTTATAGGTTTGTTTATTTTTTTAGGAAAGTAGCACTCATTGAAGTTTACTTTTAAGTTTTTTTTCCCCAAATGGAGAGGAATTAAAGTTATTTTGTATTGTAGCTTCTTTTACATTTTAATTGTTCTCGTGTTACCTTGCCCCAGATGAGCATGCTGAGTGCTCAGGAACCCAGAGTCATTGGAATGCGACAGGCGCTTTTGTAACACACTTTTCTCTACGTGTGCCATCCAGGCTTGTCCTGACTTACGTGAAAGAAGAGGCAGGAAAGCCAGACTTCTGTGATGGCCACAGCCCGGCCGTGACTGTGACGTTTGTCTGCCCCTCGGAGCGCAGGGAGGTGAGTGGCTTGTCTTGGGGTGTCTCCCAGCTGTGCCTGTTGGCTTGGGCTGCCTGAGGAGCACAGGCCTGGGGCTGGGCCCGGGTGGTGGGGCTGGGCGCAGGCACGGGGCAGTCGACGAGCTTCCCGGGTCGCCCCGGCCGCCTATGTGTCTCCTGGTAGAAGGGCGTTTGCTTTCCTCAGTCACCTCGAGGGGCCTCTGCGCGTCGATGCAGGATGGCGCTTTGCTGTAGTGTTGCAGGAGATGATTTTAAGGGGTTCACAGACAGATTTAAAAAATTTTCATAGTTATGCCAAGTTGAGTGGGTATTTGAAAACCTTATGTACAATCCCAAACCTGCGATTTCAAGGCTATTATGTGTAGGATGAGGCGAGGTAAAAATAGTTAATTAGTTTACAGAAACATAGGATGTGAGTATACGGGCGACATGCAGACCTTGCAGAAATCGTGCAGGCCAGCGACTGCCGTGCGGGGCACCGACGTCAGAGACATATGGAGAGTTATGGCCGGAAGGAAGGCCCCTGCAGGCCTGAGTGCAGCGGCTCCCCCCTCGCGGCCTCCCCCTCCCGAGCTCCCAGGCAGCTTGATGGCTCTGGCCTCTGGCTGTTTACTCAGTTTTAGCACAGCCTTAAACTCCTGGAGGGTGGGATCGGCCGGGTCGTCCTTGGGCTGGTGCCCAGCCGTGTCGCATGTCGCACGCACGCGCTGCCCGCGTGGTGGTGGCGTGAGCGTTGTAGCAGATGTGGGTGCCGATGGAAGGGGGACACCCCCCACGGAGGAAGGGAAGGGCTTTCCTCTCATTTATTTCTGTCTTGCACTAGAACGAAGTAGGAGGAGAGGAATTCTTTTGCTAGGGAGCCGTACTCCCCTCCCCCAAACAAACGTGGAATTTGCTCTGGTTTCGGGCTGGCAGCCGGCCTGTTCTGTGTGGTGGGATACGGAGACAAACGTGCAGCCCCAGCCAGCTTTCCGTTTCACGTCCCCAGACTCCCGGGGCCGTGTGGTGGGAGCTTGCTGAAGACCCGACGGGCCGACCAGTACCCGATGTCAGTTCTGAGCATGACGTTCAGGAATATTGATTGATGCTTTCCATTCGTACCCACACATGTGAATGGAAATCTTTTAGGCCTGCCGAGCTGGCAGTGGTTTCATTGTTTCCTTTTCTTATTTGTTCTACATTCAGTAAGAGTGGTTCCACGCTCTCAGGGTGGAGAAAATCGGGAGCTCGCCACCTCGCTTCTCCCTGGGGTACACGGCACGTAGCAGCGTTAGCAGAGGAGGCTGATTCGCTGTTAGAACAGCTAGCGGGTCCATTTCTAGCCTGGGTTACGTGTGGTACTTTAATGCGTGAAGGTGTATTTAAGCATTTATGCTGGCGTTTGAATGTTTTTAGAAGCTGAGCTTTGAGTAAACATTCATCTTGTCATATAAGTCTTTTTAAAAAAAGCTTCATTGCATTTACCAACTGTAAAATCCAACTGTTTTAAGTACATTTTAATGGTTGTTAGCGTGAGAACATTTCCATCACCCCCAAAAGGAACCTTGTGCCCAGTGTCAAGTCACCCCCTGATCCTGCCCCCAGTCCTGGCAACCACAAGTCTACCTTCTGTTTCTATGGACTTGTCTTTTCTGGACATCTCAGATAAGTGGGCCAGACACTGTGTGGCCTCTGTGTCCGACTGCTCTCACTTGGCACCCTGTCACGCCGTCACCAGATGTCCGACTTCCTGAGCTGAGCGGCTAAAGCTCCAGTTTTGAGTCAGACAGGCAGAGCTGGACTTGCACCTCTGCAGCTTACTCAGCACGGGACCCGTGTTTGCAGAGCCAGCACTGAGGACGAGTGCCTGGCCCGTGGCCGGCGCTGGGTAAACATTTGTGGAGTCATGGTGCTTAGAAGCAGCACAGCTATGTCTGATCCCCAGGCCAGTAACATTCTCCCACCGGGGGGTTAAAGATGACACCGCCCCCCAGGGAACAGTGTGCGTCGCAGTTCATACTGAAGCCGTGTTTGTGAAAGCCGTTCTCTGTCAGAGTCCGGTGGGCAGGTGACGCCGGCTTCCCCTGGGGGAGGGGGGGATCGAGCACAGGTAAGGTGTGCCCGAGGCCCCTTTGACAGTCTTAGGAAAGGGTTTAAGGACCACTTTCCCCCAGATGCTCACACGCGTGGTCGTTCCCACTCTACTTGGGGATTCATCTGGCCCAGGCTCCACAGCACCTCTGCAAGGACGGGACAGACCCCACACCCTTCGCAAGGCACGTTTGCTTGCTGAGGTTGTGGGTGTCTGATGACCTTGAGTTCAGGTGGTCTCACAGGTTGAAGCTGGAGTATGACTCTGAAAGTGACCAAAAACATAACAAGTAAACGGAGTTGTTGAAAGATAATCCAAATACGTTAAGGGCAATGATGATTCAAAAACAGAGAAAAATGTGAAAACCTAGCAACTTACTTTGGAGCTTTTCAGAAGCATGGAAAACCTGCATTTAGACTGCATTTTCAAAAGTTAAGTTTGCTCCTTTCAAACCGTTTGGTAGGGCACCGTTCCCAAGCTCACAGCCAGCTCCAACTGCCGCTATGAGGTCGAGTGGGTCACCGAGTACGCCTGCCACAGGGATTATTTGGAAAGCAGCACCTGCTCTCTGAGCAGTGAGCAGCATGACATTGCCATCGACCTCAAGCCACTCAGCCTGGACGGAGGTGAGCGGGGGCCTTAGGAACAGGGCAGCAGGCGAGGGGCCGAGTTGACCCCTGGTCCCTGGGACAAGCGTTTCGTAAGGAGGGACGCGGGTTAGACTCAAGTAGCACCAGAACCCTAACACCCATGGGTGTGACAGAGCCTCTTTGCGTTTGTTTTCCTCTCTAGCTCGTCACTATACTTCAGACACGAAGGAGTATACTTTTTATTTGAATATCTGTGGAGAAATTGAAGCAAAGGTCTGTCACGAGAAACAGGCTGCGGTTTGCCAAGTGAAAAAGACTGATTCCACTCAAGTCAAAGTGGCAGGAAGATTCCAGAATCAAACCCTCCGGTGTGTAAGCCGCCTTCGCGCACTTTCTAAGCGCGTTGTGTCTGTCGCTGTGGGACGTAAAGCCAGCGTTCGCTTTTCTTTGCCTTGACTTAGGCAGGTCGCCTTTTGTCACTAAGCAGTTGGATGTTTTTCCTGGCCTGACAGAGTGCTTCTGTTAAAGCTGTTTGCTTTATAGCCCATTGTTAGGAAGGAACCATGCTGTAGGGAAGCTGGTTTTTAGTTGACGTGGCATTCGTACTTTAAAATGTATCTTTCCAAGGCGTTTCCATTTTTCTCTGGCATTCTGAAAATATGAAATGCCTTTAGCATTACTTAAAAGTTTTAAACAACTAAGAAAATGCATTCAGCTCAGTTCTCGTGATCCTGAACTTGGCGGTTACTGTCACAAAAGCATCGTGAAAACGTAATTCTCTGAAAGTAATATTGTCCAGGATCCCTCAGGTAAGACTGTGTTTATGGAAGAGCTGTGTGCTTTTTGGCCATTATTTATTTTGCACAAAATCCAGAAAGGAGAGCAGAGGCATCTCCATGCTCACAGCAAAACCTTCAGCGCTTTCTTCGAGCCAGTTACTACTTTGAAGTAAAGGACGATAAGCCTGTACATTTGGAACTCATTTCCTTTAGCCTTTTCCCCCAGCTGGCGAGAGAGCGTGCTGTTCTGTGTCAGTACTGATTTGTTGATGGTCTGCACAGGGCTTAAAGTAGAAATGTTTAAAAATTCAAGTTTCTGTCTCGGTCCTACCAAACGCGCGTGTGCTTGTGTGTGTGTGTATTAGATACTCCGACGGAGACCTCACCTTGATATATTTTGGAGGCGAAGAATGCAGCTCGGGCTTTCAGCGAATGACTGTCATCAACTTCGAGTGCAGCGAGACTGCAGGTGAGCGGCCTGGGGTTTTACCTGTGTTCTGCGTCGATGGGCGTGTTTCCTGGGAGTGGAATGCTGCATGGAGCCATCGACCGTCCTCGGCTGGGCGTGGCCGCCTTCAGTCCCCAGACTCCAGTAGGAGTGCCCCGCCAACAGCACACACATCCTGTTTCCATCTTCCTCCTGCTCTGTTTGTTTTGGGAGTGGGCCCAGCACCGGGCCTGCTGGGACGGAGTTTCTGTCTTGAATTCTGGCTCGCACCAAAGGGCCTACAGACACAGCTGCTGGGTTGCTCGCCAGCCTCGAATGGGTTGTCCCTACACCCCTCTTCCTTTACGACGTCTCAGGGTGACCCTGGCACGGTGGTGGCCCTGTGGTAGGGGCTGGATTTGGGTATCGCAGAAAGTCACAGCACGGGCTTGGTTTTTCTGAGCGGTTAGGGGAAGCTCCCTGAAGTCACGGCGGCTCTGGCGTTTCAGAAAGCTGTGCCCTCCGTGTCCTGCCGATCTCAGACGTGGTTTGCATCTGCGGGGAGGTGCAGGGATGCCCTCTGCGCAGCGGCTCGCGCATGTGAATGCCGCACCTTGAGCAGCTTCCTCGCGCTTCCTGTGGTTGGTTTTGTGTGCCTCTGTGGCGGAGCTTGTGACCCTTTGGTTGCGGGCAGGTTCCCCTGTGGTTCACTGCAGGGTCTGGGAGAGGCAGCTGTGTGTGGTGTGAACTGGGCTCCAGGCGTGCGGAAAGGCCGTGGTCAGGACCAAGCTCTGATCAGCTGCCCCCAGAGCCAGCGCAGGGAGAGCCTAGTGTACGGCATGCGAGGGGCCTCACGCCCGCTGCCCGTCTCCTCCCGCAGTCGCAGGACTGTTCCCGTGGCTCTTAGGCCCCGCTGCTGCCCGTCAGCCCTCCGCGCTCCTCCGGGGGCCGGGCTTGCGCTGGCCTCTGTTTGCGGCCCTCTTCATAACTTTCTGCTCTCACCGGAGTCAGGCAGCATACGTTCCATTAGTACCTATTTACCTGGACCCTGGGAGACCTGCGGATGTGTGATGACAGCTCAAGGCGTCTGCAGAGCAGAGAGAGGGGGCACCGATGACTGCACTGCCGGCTGACGTGGGCTGGGCCAGAGCCGCCGGCGGGGGTGGCCGCCTGGCACTTGATCAGGAGTGAGGCACCGGGGTCAGTGTCCTGGGGTCTGGGGAGCCAGGGGACGGAGGCAGGTAAGGAAAGAGGAGGTGCTGCTTAGGGGGCCCTGCAGGATGAGGTGGAGTGAGCCAGGCGTGGAAGTGGGGCGGCTGTGGGCAGAGGGAGCAGCTCATGCACATGCACGAATACGGGTGGCTCATACATCCGGGGTATATATGCAGAACGTGGCTAAAGGTGACCCCAGGCAGGAGAATGGAACCACATCGTGAAAAGCTCACCGGTCCTGCAAAGGAGCTGGACGTTATCTAGAAATCCGTTTGGAGTCCCGGGGGTGTGGGGTCGTGGCCTTGGGACGCATCTGCCATCTGGCTGGGTGCCCTGCTGCCCTCCCCAGATTCTCCATCTTTCATGGTCCTCACCGCTTCCAGGCTTTTAGGAGACCCTCTCTGGGGTACACCTCTGCTCCTTCGTGTCCCAGTCCCTGGGAAATGCAGCCTGTTTTCACCCTTTCCCCAGGCCTCAGGCACTCGACCCGCCCTGTCCTCCCCAGCTGGGCCTCTTGGACCCTCTGCTGGCCCAGCCGCTCTGTCGTGGGGTCCTGTGGCCCCCGTCTCCCTCCCACCTCGTGGCCCGGTTCTCTTCTGGGCTTTTTCTAAGTGACTTGGCCGGGGTCTTGGAGGGTGCACTGAGAAGGTCAAATAATGATCCGAAAAGAGCTCAGCAGACGAGGCGGGCGTCGAGGAGGGCACGTAGCCGGGGCCGCACTGGGAAGAGGCGGGGACGCCCTGGAGTTGTGCTGGAACGCTGCAGCCCCAACGAGCTGGGGCATGAAAAAGTACCGAAGGCGTTTCTTTTTCTCTTTTACTTTTTATTATAAAACTTTTGAAACATACAAGTAGAAAGAACATCACAATGAAAATTTATGTGCCCGACACTCAGATTTAATGGTCATTCACGATTTGTCAAATCTGCTTCACAAAGTCCATACATGACACGCCACCCAAGTCACGTGGCTGCAGACCAGACAAAATGAACGATGCCCTCATGCCCAAATCTCTGTGTTTTACTACGCTGTTTTCCTCATGATTGTGACAAGGAGACCGGACGGGGAGATGTTACGATGTTCTGTGGGGGATTTTGAGCCTGCTCTCAGGCCGGAGTTGGATTATAAAATATTCGCGACTCCTTCCAGCTCTGTGATTCAGTCCTCCAAACTTCGGAGCTAACTGTATATACTGAAAAATTATTCCATTATTACTTTGTCCAAATATAAATTTAGAGTTTTTAGAGGAAATTCCGTGGTAGATTCTGTGTTTATTGGGTAAATGTAACAATGTATTTTTTGCACGTGAATGGGTGTTAATTGGCTGTGTAATGTAGTGTGGTTTATAATTTAACTTGAATCTCCAGGAATTATTTACGCTGGTGAATCTAGGGCTCCTGCATTTTAAGACACAAGGTACTTAAATTTATTCCTTTAGTTATAATATATTTTGTAGCCATTTGTTTCAATAGCTCACATCTAGTGTGCTGTGATATACCACCTTATTATTGGTGATCCTGTCAAATCAGGCATTAGATCTTTCTTTTGGGACGAGTGATGTATTAAGATAGGCTAGTAAGAAACCCACGCATTTAAGCGGCTCATTACCTTAAAGATTTATTTTCTTTAGTTCAGTGTAGGTGGACGTGAGGCTCTGCTTCCTGTGGTCACTAGGAACCTTTGTGCTTTCCATCTGTGTTGCTGCTGTCTGTGGGACTCTGCAAAATGGAAGTGGCACTTTTTTTTAATGGGCCAGAACTAAGTGGCCTGGCCAACCTCAAGGCAGAAAGCCTGGGAAATGGAGCTTAGCTCTGAGCCTAGAGGGGAGATTAAGGCAGTGTGGTGGAGTTAGGTAGGCAGCACTGCCTTTGCCACGGAGACACGGCAGAGGGGGTGCCGCTCCTCCTCAGCCTTGGTGCCACTGGGGAAGTCCGCTTGCCCTTCAGCTGGTCGTGGACCCACGTCTTGGGAGGCCATGTGAAGGCATGCGCTGGGAGTGAGCCAGGGTCAGGAGAGCGAGGGTGGTGCTTTCAGGAGTGAGTGATGGATGGAGGCGGGAGACTGAAAGGCTAACGCTAACCCCCCAAAGGCAAAGCCCACCGTGTTTAAAAACGAATAAACAGATGCGGTTTGCGGTTTGGTAGGAGGGTGTCTTAGCTTACTGTTCTCCTAAAGCAGTTTGAGGGATTCAGTAAGAAGACAGGTAAGATGCACCCAGTGATTGTAAGATGGACTCTCTTTGCAGATTATTAGTGAGCTTCAGGTGCAGAACCAGCTCCAAGTAGGGACGGGTGCTGGAACCATCTGTAGTCTTGTTTAGTTGTTTGTACACTTATCTGGCAAAAGACAAACACAGCAAACACTTCAAGTTTGCAGATCATTTCCACATAGCAAAGTAAGATTCCAGTGAGAGTCAGCGGGGTGTAAATCTTGTGCTTGGGGCGGGGGCGGGCAAGGCAGCGCCGGCTCCAGCCAGAGGGTGGGCGCCTTATCAGAAAGGGAGATCGGGGTACCGCTCCTGAAAGAGAACGGCTTGAAGCGCTTGCTCTAAGGAAAGGAGGAACAGCCCGCAGCAGCATTGGGAAGCATTGCCTCGTACTTGTGAGCCTGGCTCTGGGGCCAGACTGTCTGGCTTTGGTTCCTGGCTCCTCTGCTGTCTAGCTGTGAAACCATAGGCAAATTATGTAGCCACCCTAAATCTACTAAATGGGGTAGAACTGTACCCGTGCCACAGGGCTTTTAGGATTAAACGTGCCAGTATTTGTAAAATACTTAGATCAGAGCCTGTTTCTGTAGCCAGCCCCCCAAGTAGCACTGCGAGGCTTGCCTCGTGCCTGGCTCCGACTATGCCCAGTACGGGCTAGCTGCTGTCGCTGGTATGATAATTATGATGTTTATGATACGACATACTTAGTAAAAGTTGCAACTGAAACATCGTCCGCCCCTGGTACGAATGTTATTTCCTTTTCCTGGAGAACACTGGGCAGAAGTGTACCAAACCTCGATTAAGGCGGCCGTGTCATGGCCCAGAGGACGGTTAAACCACCGAGGGGTGGGAAACGGAGCTTTGGCCGTGGCCTGCTGGCCTGGATAGGCGAGGGGAGAGAATTTCTCGTAAGCGGGGAACTCGGCACAGTTCACGGAATCCCAGGCTTCGTGGACTTGGGGAGGGACGGGAAGAGCTGGCTTCCAGACCAGAGTTGAGCTGCTGGGGCTCCCGCAGGGTGCTGCACCAGGAGACTGCGTGTGCATCGGGCCTTAGAGGCACACGCCGATGGAGCCCCAGAGTCCAGGGCGCGGGCAGCACCTGGAGGTGTGCCTCCAGCCGTGCCAGGTGGCAGTGACGGTAGACATCGTCCCTCTCGCACCTTCATTTCAGGGTGACCCCCAGGGAGCTTGTCTTGCTCACAGTCACATCATCAGGCCGGTGTCACTCCCGGAGCGAGGGGTCTGGTCTCTGCTTTCCTTTCTGTGAACCCCTGGTCTGACGCAGAGGCTGAGCACAGCCCCTGAGCAGCAGCAGAGCCCTGCCCAGTGGCTCTGGTGTTCCTCGTTGGTACCCATTTCATGTCCCCATTGAATGCGTTGTAAGTCACCTGGTGGCCTGTTGAGATCATCATACCTAGACGGAAGGGACACAGGCCCACCTTTGAGGGGGTTGGGGTTGTCAAACCCAGCAGAAGCTGCTGTGACCTCTGAGCCCTCGGATCTCTGGGGTTTGGGGCTGGCGTTTGTTTCCCTGCGCATTCGGCATGGGCTGTTTCTTCCCTTGCTCGTTTGACACATCTGGGTTCGGCCGTGTAATGGAACGTTTTGTTTTTCCTTTTCCAATGGCACAGGCGATGGTGGGAGAGGCGCCCCTGTGTTCACAGGGGAGGTGGACTGCACCTACTTCTTCACGTGGGACACGAAGTACGCCTGTGTGAAGGAGAAGGAGAGCCTCCTGTGCAGCGTCACCGACGGGAAGAGGCGCTACGACCTGTCCGCCCTGGCCCGGCACGCAGGTAGGCGGGGCCCTGCGCCCACGCGCGTGTCCGCCGTGTGTTCACGGGAGCCTTTCCGTGCCTCCCCCAGGCATACGTTTGGAAACGCTCCCGCCGCCTCCTGTAGCAATGTGAATTAGAAGGCAGAATATCTGAATTGAGGTTGGCGTCACCGTTTTCTACTTGGAGTACCTTGGGCCAAGCTTATCATATTTTAGTAAAAACTGCCAAGTGCCTACTGTGTACTAGGCCTTGTGCTATGTGATTAGAAATGTTTTAAAAAATTTAAACTCTTGCTAAGAGAGTAGATCTCGAAAATGCTCATCACGCACACACAAATTTGTAACTGATATTAACTTATTGTGGTGACCATTTTGTAACATATATATATATCGAATCATTATTTTGTGTCTCTGAAACTAAAGCAATGTTATATGTCAGTTATATCTCAATTAAAAAATTAAAGTAAATTTAAACCCTTACAACAGCTTCCAAGTAGGCAGTGTTCGCCCTTAGCACCTGGACAGACGGGCTTCGAGGGCGAGAGGCTTGGTGTGAAGGTTGGCGAGGCCAGGTCCGTTCGTGCCTTTGACCCTGTGCTGTTCCGCTTTGTCTCATCGCCTCTTTTCTCATCTCTAAAACGGAACGGGTGTCCCCCGCCGACCTCAGACTCTTGGCGAGGCCGAGAGCGTGGCTGTGGAGCCTGGGGATGCAGGGCAGAGCCGTGTTAGTGACAGGTGGGGTTTGTCGCAGAGAGCTGGCTCGCCGCGAAGGCCTGCGTGGCAGACGTGTGCATCCGCCGAATGAATGCCTGTTGACCGTCTGCTCTGTGCGGGCTCAGCCTGCGTGCTGGGGGCCCGGCAGCGCACCTGACGCGCGTGAATCCTGCTCCACGGGCCTTCGAGTTCGGTAGGGTCCGAGGACACTGAATGAGAGGGGTCTCCCAGCAGGGGTAACAGTCTGGTTGGCTAGTTTCTGGGCTTGTCCTTTTAGCAGGCTTGGAATTCAGCGTGTGTAGAGGCGGGTTGCATCTGTACAGTGGGGACAGTACCTGTGACAGGGACAGTCACGTAATTACCTGCTGCGACAGCACCTCGTGTTTTGTCCCATCTGCCTTAGAAGTATCACATTAGAAAGAGGAATTCCTGTTCTGTGGGGCGTTTGGGAGCTTTGAACACGGGACGGTGGAAGTCAGTGTTCTTTGTGCTTTAGGAGTTCAGCACCCTTTAAACATGGGAATGGCGCCATGGCTGATGTTGGGGTGCAGGCACGAAGAGGTGGGTTCTGCACGGCGGGAGCCCTTGCCTTCCGTCAGGGACGAGTTTGAGGACTCGTGTGGCCACGTCCTGCCTGGTTTTTATTGAGCCCATTGCTGGCCTTCGCCAGGCCTCAGGTTTCTTACAGTAAACAGGGGTGGTATCGGATCTCCTTTATTCGGTCTTGTTTTTTTACACGTCACTATGTGCACGACACAACCCACGGTCCGCGAGGGAGGTAGAGATGCATCCCTTCACTTCTGCCACCATTCTGCTTTTCTGGGGACGCGAGTACTTACTTTTGTGGCATTTGCATCCAGGTGACTCTGAGAAAGCCATAGGTGAGAGCTAAAACGCTTCCCCACTAGCTCAGAAAGTCCTCCCGTCTGACGGCTTTTCAGCCCACCCCTCTCCAAGCTGGACTTCGGAACAAGGCCAGGACAGTCTGTCCCTGTCGTCATGCACGGCCATCCCGGCTTCTTCCCGGTGGCTGGCACTGGGGTGCCGCTGTGTCGGCGGCGTCGTGATGAGCTGTGGGGCTCCTCTCCACACCCTGGCCTCCAGTCTGGAAAAAGGGCATCTTCATGTCTGTGTCGTCCTTCACACAGCTCTAATTCATGGCTTCGGCGACTTCAGGGGATGGCCTGCCTTTTGTGACCGCCCCTCAGATTTGCCATTGGTACTCAGCAGGAGCTCCCTCCGCCTTCTGTGGGTTTCCGATCTGTCTCGTTCATAGATGACTAGATTATGAGCTGTTTGAGTCCAAGGACCACCCGTATCCTCTGTACCTCCTGGTGGTACCGAGCGCTCACCCCATGCTCGGCCTGCTGGTGTGGAAGAGGTGGCGGGTGTCCTTCAGGCTGCGTGGGCCGTCTCCCTGGCTGGACTTAGGGCGTGCTGGCTCAGGCATGGCGCCTTGCCACTCCCAAGGCACAGCTGCCATCTGGGTTTGCTTTTGGCTTTCTGGTTTTGTAATTTGGGGCTTGGGAGAACCTTGCTGTTTAATGCTCTGTCCCCCTCATTATACCCGCTCTTCTGAGGAGACATTGGACGCAGTTTGTTTTTGTCACGTTAAATGAGAAGCCTGAAATCCTCGGTGAGTGGCTGTGCCTGCAGCCCGCCCGGGTCCAGAAACGTGGGTGCCTGAGGTTTAGCGGCCGCAGGCTTGTGAGCTTTGGGCCTTTCCCTTCTGCTTAATCATCATTTATGGTGTGACTCACAGAGAAATAATCACTGCCTTTGGCTAAAGATGTTTTTTTTTTTTTTTTTAACAGAACCGGAACAGAATTGGGAAGCTGTGGATGGCAGCCAGAAGGAAAAAGAAAAGAAGCATTTCTTCATTAATATCTGCCACAGAGTGCTGCAGGAAGGCCAGGCGAGAGGCTGTCCTGAAGACGCAGCCGCGTGCTCTGTCGGTGAGCCTGCCCGGCGTGGCGCTGGTTCCCTGGGGGCGCGAGGGGTTAGCGAAGCCCCCTGCGGCTGTCTCCCCCTCCTTCCCTGGGATTGGCACATAAAAGATGGGGCGAGAGCAATTCACGACTGGAAACCGGTTTGGGGCCTGGCGTTGGTGAACGCCACGCCTGGGGACAGGAGGAGCCATGTCGGAAGATACTTGGTTATCTCTTCTCTTTGTAACCTGAAGAGTGACATTGCCAGTACTTGTGTAAAACGGATTTTTTTTTTTTTTTTAAACAACTTTACTGCCTGGAATTGTTCAAAAGTTACGACGTAAGGCGACGGGAATCTCGTATCGTAGCCTTCGTCTGAGGCCCCGTGTCCCGAAGCTTCCTTTTGCCGTGTTGTGTTGGTCCGTAGCGTCCTGCAGAGAGGTCTCAGTTAGATGTAGATATGTAGCACGTTAGTTGTCACTTAAGACTCACCTCAAAAGTGACAGGCAGGGAAAGTGATGAAAATCTGTTCCAAGCACTTTTCAGAATTACCCCGGTATTCAGAATTGGTGGCGTGTCCTTCAGAGCAGGTCCTCGCTCGTCCATGCCTTTATCTAAGAAGGACGCGGCACTCCGTTTCAGAACTTTATAGTAAACATCAACCAAACCGAAAATTAGCTGGTCACCTTCTCGACTTGCTGAGCAGGTTCGGTTAGTTTCTGCTTTGTTCGTGCCTTGGCTGTGCTTTCAGGAGCCCTGTGTCTCAGGGGAGCTGAGGCCGCCAGAAAAGGTGTGCTTGCCTTTCTGCCTCTCGTGGCTCTGGAGGACCTGATCATTCTCACACTTTCCTGCTAAGCCTGGAGGTGGCTTTGCGGTTTTCAGTGTGGCTGCCACCACCTGGTCAAACTTGTCACTCAGAGAAAACCCACTGACCACGTGGGCCAGGCCAGGCGGGCTGGGCTGATTTTTGGTGCCTCTTTGTGTCGTTAGCATTGTTAATCATGTCTTCTGTTTTTTTCCCTTTTTTTTTTTTTTAAATCAGATAAGAGCGGAAGTAAAAATCTGGGCAAATTTATTGCTTCTCCCACAAAAGAGAAAGGAAATATTCAGCTCTCTTATTCAGATGGTGATACTTGTGGCGACGAGAAGAAAATAACAACTAATATAACACTCGTATGCAAGCCAGGTAAAAGTTAGAAAAAAGGACAAAACGTGCTTGTGGCTTTTGCCAGCGGTGTGCCCGTATTCTTCGGCTCCCAGTCCCTCCTCGGCCACTGCCAAGATGACGAGGTCGAGAGGGAGGGGCGGTGCCAGGCGGTTCCGTCTGGAATCTTCTGGCAGTTAAGTTGGGTTTGACTCCCCATCCCCTGCCTGAAACCAGTCCAGAAATGGGGAAGCCGGACCGCGTCCGAGGGGCCGTGTTGTGATTTTCCAAATGAGCTACGGATCCCAGCGTGGCTTCCTCTCCTCAGGACTGGTCCAGAGTGACGGGCGGCCGCTCAGCATCCCCAGACTGGGGAGTCGCAAGCGGCTCAAAACCGCCGCCCACGAGCTCACCATTCAACACTGTGCCTTTCTTTCCTTTCCTTTATCTGTTGGTTTACGTTGTTTTCACAGGGTCAAAACCTATGCGTATTTACACACTTTTGTATTCCTTAAAGTGTGCTATTTTGTGAATACTCTTCTATGTTTCACAGTTACATTTGTAATTTTTAGCGACTTCCTTGGCTTTACTGTTTTTAAGCATTTTCTTTGTTGTTGGGTTAGTGGCATGTTTCCAGTATCAGTAATCGTGTTGTTAACAGTGTCCTCTCCACTTCCCGATGAAATATTTCCTTTGGATAAATTTTTTGCTATGGGATAAAGTCAAGGGTTAGGACTATCTTTTCTTTTTGAACGATTTTAAAAAAAATTATGGTAAAATATACACATTGCGAAGTTGACATTTCTTACAAATTGTAAAATACACGTAACGTGGAATTCACCATCTTAACCATTCGTAAGTGTGGAGGTCAGTGCCATTAAGTGGACTTACACCGTGGCGCAGCCACCCCTGCCACCGTCTCCAGACCATTTTCATCCTGCCAGACGGAAGCCCTGTACCTGTTCAGCACCACCCCCCGCCCCCGGCCCTGGCAGCCACCCGTCTCTCGGCCTGTGTGGGTTTGACTGCTCTAGGGACCTCGTGTCGGGGGAATCATACTGTATTAGTAGGATGACTTGTAGACAGAAGGAATTTCGGGAACGGTGAGTGATGGCGTTTTCTTCTACATCGACAGGTGATCTGGAAAGTGCTCCCGTGCTGAGGACCTCCAGGGATGATGGTTGCTTTTACGAGTTCGAGTGGCACACGGCCGCGGCCTGTGTCCTGTCCAGGACCGAGGGTGACAACTGCACGGTCTTTGACTCCCAGGCAGGTGTGTGTCCGAGCAGCGCCCTGGTGGTGGTGTGTCACCTGGCACTGCTCAGGTTTCTGTTTTAATATTTTCTATATGTGTTTCAGAGGTAAGCTGCTTTAGGATCATAGTGCTACCGCGTGACCAAAGTTCTTAAAATCTAATGTTTGAGGCTCATTCGACATAATGAAAAACCTTCTTAAATTCATGGTTGATGTGGGTTTGCTGAATGCAAAAACCTGAGGGTCACAGTGAAACAAAGCATGTTTGAAAAGGCTCTGTGCATGAGTCTCTGGCCAAGAAACCTACCTCAGAGAGACTTTTCTCCAAGGTCGTTGTATCGTGGTCATCTGCTCTGAACACTCTGGTGGTTTATTTAACCAGCAATTACGGGCTTTGAAAAGAGTGTTTAGGCTGACACAGTGGACCGGGAATAATGGTGGCACATCCATCTCTGAGAGACATGTCGGGAACCGTGGTTCTGGCGGCCTGCAAGGCCCCTTCGGTCCCCTTCGGTCCCCTGCAACTGGGCGGTCCCCGGGAAGAGTGTCTGTCCTTAAGCTGCGTGCCGAGGTCACCCTCCTTAACTGGGTCTGACTGACCTTCCATACTTGGATTGTTTTGCTCTTTGTCAGGGTTTTCTTTTGATTTGTCACCTCTCACAAAGAAGGATGGCAGCTACAAGGTCGAGACAGAGAAGTACGACTTCTACATAAACGTCTGTGCAGCGGTATCTGGGAGCTTCTGCCAGCCGGGCTCGGGAGCCTGTCAGGTAGCGAAAAGGCAAGTCGCTCTTCCCAGTTATGGATGTTCCTTCAGGAGTCTCGTGCTAACAGGTGATTTATTCGGGAATCGGTGAGGTCTCTGCTGCCGTCATCGCTTTACAACGAGCATCTAATCTAAACACTGAGAAGACTTGGCTCGGAGCTTAATCTCTGGGAAAAGGGGCAGGCCGCCCCCCGGAAGAGAACGGGTTTACCTCGCGCCTTCACGTAGCATAGCTGGCACTTCTCAGCTCTTAATGCCTACGTGCACATTTCTGCATTCCGCGTAGCATTAGTTCAGATGAAGTGAGTTGTCCCTTAAAGCAGCTGTGGGTTTGAGGTCTGGAGCAGGGGCAGGTTGTCTTCACCCCACTGGGCTTAGAAATCCTGTCGGGAGCAGGGTGGTCTTGCAGGCCTGGGTCCTGGTCCCAGCTGCTCCCCCAGCGTCATAGTAGGCAGGACTTCTGGTCTCCTGGTCTCCGTGTCTTTTCCGAGAGACGTTTGTTTGTTTTAGGGATAAGAAGTCTTGGAACTTGGGACTGAGTAATGCTAAACTTTCCTATTACGACGGGATGATCCAGCTCAACTACAAAGATGGCACACCCTATAATAATGAAAAGCACACACCCAGAGCGACGCTGATCACCTTTCTTTGTGACCGAGATGCTGGAGTGGGCGTCCCTGAGTACCAGGTAGGAGTGTGCCATGTGTGCACACGTGTGCCTATGCGCTGACGGCAGTAGGGGAGAGAACGTCACTCTCGAGTGGTTAGGACAGGGCTTGTGACTTTTCTGGAGTGAGGTGAGGTTCTAACCATAGGTGAAGTGTGAGCTGGACTGTTTCCTGCGGGTAAACCGTCAAGTTGTCCGGCTGTCCGAGACTTCTACATGAGCCTGTCCTGGGCCCTTTGCTTTGAAGCAGAGCTGTTGTTGGTCCTATTTTTCTGGCCAAATTATCATCTCTCGAGATTCTAATTAATTCTTTTTGATTTTCCAGGGTATATAAGCAATATTTATTTTCGGATCTGTTTATTCAGTGGGCCATATTTCTCAGAGCTAGCCCACAACCCTGTTGGTTTTGGGTACGAAACACACAAAAGCATCGAAAACCATCCCTCATTTTCATTCAACAGAGGCTAGATTTTCATCTTATTTTATTGCGGGTCCATCTTCCTTTTAGTAAAAGGAAAGGAGATGGGCAAAGTAAACTTTTCTTCCTACAGTGTTTTTTTACAGAAAACGCCCATCTGTAAAAAATGTCAATTTTTTGTGCTGGCTTTGGGTGACATTCCCCTTTCTCTTTGCCATCCCTCCCCGTTTCTCCTTGTCATGGGATTAGGAGGAAGATGACTCTGCCTACAACTTCCGGTGGTACACCAGTTACGCCTGCCCAGAGGAGCCCCTGGAGTGCATGGTCACCGACCCCTCCACGATGGAGCAGTATGATCTCTCCAGGTGAGGCGGGGTCAGGCTGCCCTTGGCCTTGGCTCACGTCCAGGCAGTGCTGAGGTCGCATAGGCCTTGTTGGTGAGCATGTAACTCAGCCATGGAGTCCAGTGAGTGCTGGGGCGCAGGACCAGATGGGGAGTTTTAAGCAGCATGGATTCTGATAACGGTCTGGTATGGTAGCCTTTGTGATGCCAACCAGTCTTTGCCACCGCAAAGCCCGTCTGTCCTCATCGCGTCATTTAAATTGATGACTGTCCATGCAGGGGTGTGGGGGCAGCTCAGGACCTGCCGAATTCTGAGTTGGTGAAAGCTGAGTGTCCTCGTGGGTGTCCTGAGGCACAGCGAGCCACCCTCTTTGGTGTGACTGGGGGGAGTGGGGACGTGTTTCTTTCTGTGTCTCACTAACCACTTAGAATGACTTGGCAGACTGGAATCTTAGGCTCCAGGAGCACACGTTACGCTTTGAAATTTCAGGCTAGCGGTCTCTGAAGGCAGCCGTGGGGAGAACTGGTACGCCATGGACAGCGCGGGAGAGCACAACGCGTGGAGGAAATACTACATCAACGTGTGCCGGCCGCTGAGCCCCGTGCCGGGCTGTGACCGGTACGCGGCCGCCTGCCAGATGAAGTACGTGAAGGATCAGGTGAGTCCGCCTCCCGGGCGAGCGTCTCCGTGGGCGGGCGTGGCTTCTCCGGGACTCCCAGATCAGAGTGGGCCTGGCCGCTGGAGCGGGGGCCTCTGTGTAAGTCGCCTGCCCCCATGGGTGTGAGCGCACCTGAGTCATTGTGCACATTGAAAACCCTGCACCGCCTTGGTGTTGGCGGCCTCCGATCTCAGCCTGGGGCGGAGGGAGCTCCTGGCCCCTGTCTAGCCTTTGATTGACCAGCAGACACTGGTAAGGAATAGTTTTTGCTCCCCAAAGCTCTTACGTCTGGCTAATTAGGGAGGAAGCCAGCCCAGGAGACTTGCAGTGCGTGAACTAGGTCCAGGCGTTCGCTCTTTCTTGGGGTGCCGAGCTGTGCCTCACCGTCCACTGAGTGCAGTTACTACCAGAACTCAGTACGATTCTGTGTGCTCCTTCCACGGTGAGTCTTAAAATAAAGGAGGACGTGTGGTTCTTTAAAAATAGCAGGTCGGGAATGTACTTTTCCCGGCGTATGTTGCACAGCGTCGTGGAGGCGTCTCGAAGCTGGCACGCGCTCTGCTGGTTAAGGATCGAGTTCCCTGCGGTGCGTTTGTGCACGTACGCGTGTGTGTGCGCCCGGTGGGAGAATGGCCTTGGACTACAGCCAGGCCTCCTCGTTCGCGGGTTCCATGTTCGCAGATTCGTCTGCTTCCTGATCAGTGCTCGCAGCTCTCTGACCCTCCGCAGTCATTTGGGACATGGGCAAAGTGGCCCCATGTGCATGTCCCCCGCCGAGGTGTGGAACAAGGCGACACTGTATTCTTGTCTCATTTCTGCCGAGACGACCAGAGGGTGGGGACGTGGTGAGGCAGGGCCGTGTGGGGCTGGAGGCTCCTGGCTCTGGGCCAATTGGATGGGCTTCGAATCTCGTCTCTGATTCCTGTTAGAGGTGGCCTTGGACAAGTCACTTACCACATCTGACTTCGTTTCACTGTTTGTAAAATAAAGAACATGGAATCCACCAGCGTGAGTTGTTTCGAGGACGTAGGCGCGCATTCTGAGATACGCACTTCCCGTGTGCAGAGCGCCGTTCCTGCTCACTAATGGCACGTGTGTGGCGGCTTTACAGACCACGGCTGCAGGGATAGTGAGAACCGCCTGCGTGGCAGTGCAGGCGGCGTCCTCCTTCACAGGGAGCCGACAGACGTGTTTGTTCGCAGGGCTCGTTCTCCGAAGTGGTCTCCATCAGCAACCTGGGGGTAGCCAGGACGGGCCCCACGGTGGAGGGCAGCGGCAGTCTCCTTTTAGAGTATGTCAACGGCTCGGCCTGCACCACCAGCTACGGGCGGCGGACCACCTACACCACCCGGATCCATCTCGTCTGCTCCAGGGGCAGCCTGGTAAGGCGCTGCTTGTTTCACGACCTGGGTTCTGGGTTCTTCTGTGACCGAGTGCTGCCCGATGCGGCTCTTAATGCAGGCCGGGGGGCTGGGGTGTTTACGCGAGGAGTCAGGGAGCGCGTGGTGGTGCTTTTGCAGCTGTGCTAATGTTTAAGCCAGTTCTCGTATTGCTGCTACGTGACATACCTCATATGCTGTTCCGTAGACTTGAGTTTTCTCTCTGAGCTGTGCAGGCACCACCCTGCCTCCTGTTCTTGTGAGTTGGTGAGCCAAGGATCATGGCAGCAGAGCGGGTCTTGGAGGTGGTTCAGTCCAAACCTAAAGTTCACAGATGAGGAAACTGAGGCTTGGTACAGCTCAGGCCCATGGACAGACCGTGAGGGATATACGTAACTCCTTGGGCAAAACAGGAATGAAAAATGAAGGCTGGGAGACAGCAAGAGGAAGGACTCTGCTTTTCACTGGGGCAGGACAGAAGAGAGAGCTCCAGATAGAAATGCATCGGGGCATTCTGCACAGTCCCAACTGCTCAGAAAAAGTTATGGCAAAAATATATAACAGAATTTACCATTTTAACCTTTTTTAGGTGTGCAGTTCTGTGGCATTAAGCACGTTCACAACGGTCACGTGTTTCCTGAATAATTGCCAAACCTGATAGATAAATGCAGAACAGAGATAACTGGAATCCATGTTTATTATCAGATAAATTACTTAAAAGTCTACTTTTTAAGGTCTGTTACAGCTTCTCCTCGTTTCATTGAATTGAAGTAGCAAAACATATTTACTCTGCTTAACAGTGCAGTGGACTTTGTTACTTACATTCCAGTTGTCCTGTAGACCCCAAGTTCTCTGTTTGCCAACTCACAGTGTTTTTCTGAGATAATTTCTTTAGAGTTCAAGAAGGTCTCCCTGATAAGGAGTGAAATCACCAGCTCACTGACCATGGGCTGATGGTGCGTGTCCCCGCCTGAGCCTCGCCCACCTCCCCTTCCCCCCTCTGGTTTCTTGTTGCCACTGGGGATACTGGGCAGTTCTAGCAGGTTCTCTTGGATCCTTAGTTTCTTAGCTCCCCTTTGACACCTTGTTTGGACAGAGTTTTTTTAGTTTTTAGAGCAATTTCGTATGTCACTTTACCTCTCGGTACTTGTACGGGGCCCAGTGCTTACTGCAGGTCTAGGAAATAGGCACTCACGGTTTAAGCTCAGTTACTTTTCACAGTCACACTGGGAGGTGTTTTCATTTTGCTGTTGGAGACGCTAGGACTGAGGGTGGGGGCTTCAGGAGGATGGTGGTTGAGTAAAGTGTGGGCTTGGGGTGAGGTAACTGTCATCTCCGTCACCTGTGAGCCTGGCTAGGTGTCTTAGCTTCCCTGTGCCTCCGCGCTCTCCTCTGTATACAGGTGGTGGGTCATCATAGGCCCTGGTTCGTGGAGTCGTTGTGACGTTCAGTTGAGAAATGCTAATAAAACTCTTAGTGTAGTGCCTGGTAGGTGATAAACTCTTAGATTGGAGCTGCCACTTCCTGTGACGAGGCGGTGCTGTCATGGAAGGTAGTGCATGCAGCACGTGCTTGGGGACTTCTCATTGCAACACACCCAGAGAGGTGCACGGATTATAAGTCACTAATGGCTGGATAGATTTTTCACAGATGGAGCACATGTGTGTGACCAGACCCCGCACCCCCAATCCAGAAACAACACTAGCAGCACCCAGGAACCCCCTCTATGTTATGTCCTCTCTGCTCACGTCTCAACCCCTGTCCTGACACCACAGGCCAGTTCGCCTGTTCCTCAGCTCGCCTGGATGATGTCGTCCCTGGCGGCTTGCATTCTGCACTTTTCGAATGTGTAGACTTGGACCCAGACTTAGGTTTGGGTCCCAGGCTCGCCGTTTGCTGCTGCCATGACCTCAGGTAGATGTCTTAGTATCCGAGCATAAGAGGGAACACGTCTGTGACTGGGATGATGACGATGTTAAATCAGAACTAGATAATGCTCATCAAGCGCCTGGCCTGTTGACTGACACGTAATAACCTTTCAGGAACTTTTGGCTGTTTTGTGTTTCGGGCTGGAATTCTTTGGGTTAGATCGAGTTCCATTTTCTTAGCTTGACCGTTATCCTGAATTTGATTTTTCAGAATACTCATCCCATATTCTCCCTCATTTGGGAGTGCGTGGTCACTTTCCTGTGGAATACGGAGGCTGCCTGTCCGGTCCTAATAACGACAGACACAGACGAGGTGCGTGTGCCTCCCTGAGCTGGCCCTGGACGTTCCCAGCAGCGTCCCGGCTGTGCACTCACCCTTGTGTTCCAGATCTGTCACTGGCGTCACTGTTTCCTCCGTGCTGACTGCAGGCATCTGGACGTCATCCTGCGTTCCTCTCCCAGCCCGGCTCCCCGGTCCTGGGATGAGAACCAGGACCTTCAGTTTTATTCCCTGAAAAAAAGGCATAACGGCCTTTTTTTGTTGTTCGGCCCATTGTCCCTGCGATGTGGCAGTGGCACCCCTGTGGGCTCTGGGGTTCTCTGTCACTGCAGAGATCTGAATTATTAATCTTTTACTCCAACATATAAGATATTTCAATGCCCTGTCAACTCTGGGATACAGCCATCTGTTCCGTGTGTCATCTGTAGGATACAGCCATCTGTTCCAACGTGACACTGCAGGTTTCCATTCCAGCCCATCCTCTGCCATCGCTTCTGCCTCGGCCATGTGCCCGCTGCCGTCCGGGGCGTCCGCCCTTTGGCCTTGGCTCTTGCTGTAGCCCCGGCGAGCCCTCTGCTGTGAGAGCAGCAGCAGCTGCTCTGTGCTGTGTTCTCTGACCTCCCAAGGTTTTCATAGCACTGGGAGTTTTTCATTATAATGGGAGGTATTCCCCCCGCCCCTCTCTCAGTCTCTGCTAGGTGGCAAACCCTTTGACAGCAGAGCCCACGTTCACCCAAACGGATGTCCCCAGCACAGGGTCCCGGGCTCATGGGTTGTGCGGAGGGCGGATGTGGTAGGATGCTGCATCTCGTCCCCCACCAGTGCTTTCTGGGGCTATGTCCGCTGCCCCTTCCCCTGCGTGCGGTGGACATGGATTGAGAGAGGGATGGTTCGTGACACCTCCTGGAAGAGGACGAGGGACAGTGAGATACCTCGTTATCCTTCCCGTTATTGCCTTTAACTGCATACCTGAGACGGGACGTTACTTAAATCAACTTTCTTAGGCTGATATAAAAAAATCATTGTGGGTCTCTTAGGGTTTCTAACTGCTTCCTCAGAGGTTAGCAGTGGTCTCACTCAGGTAAACATAGCAGCCTTAAGAGCTGCCGGCGAGCTTACTCTCTGAGCCCGGGGTCGCGCTTGGGCAGGCCTCAGGGGCCCACTCTGATGGGCTGGCGAGTCCGCCCAGGGGTTAAAGTCGGCGGAGAAGGACATGGTTTATGACGACACACGTGCTGGTTTGGGAGGCATCTGTGTTTGCCGCGCCCTTGAGGACTAGGCTTGAACGTGTCCTTCTCCCCACTTTTTCCCGCAGGCCTGCTCTATAAGGGACCCGAACAGTGGGTTTGTGTTTGATCTCAACCCACTAAACAGTTCCCAAGGCTACCAGGTCTTCAGCATCGGGAAGACGTTCGTGGTAAGAGTTACACGATGAATTGGCTTTGCTTTGAAATGAGGACACAGGGCGTTAAAGTCACCTGCAGCTGGCTACGGGGGAGGCAGTTGTCCTCAGGAGTTTCCCCCAGCCCTGGGATGGCACCTGCTACCCAGGAGGAGACGAGAGAGTCCTGATTTAAGGGGGAAATGAGGTGAAGCCATCAGCCCATCCTGGTGCAGGGCGGACACAAGGGGGCCGTTCTTTAGAAAGTGAGTTACCCCTGTCTGCTGCTGTGTGTCAGGGGCGGGGGTTTTTGGGCCAGCCACATGGACACCACCTGGGCTTGTTAGGGGTACAGATTTTCGTGGGGCGGGGCCAGCCGCTTGCTCTAAGGGGCCCTCCAGATGGTGTTGATGCCCACTGGACTTTGAGAGCCATTAGCTAAGAGGAAATGGTGATTGTGTTATCTGCGAAAGGGCAGTGAGCAGGGTGGCTGTGTTCTAGAGCCTTTGACAGCTGCCTTCCCAGGCAGCCAGCTCTTAAAAACTAAGCACTGCTAGAAATGGAGAAAGCTCTGCAAAATCTTTAGTTTGGTTTGTTTAAGTTCTTGTAGCAAAATCCACGTTGGAAGAAGAGAGTAGGCTTTGAAAACAGGAAGTTGGGATGAGAACATCTGATAAAATTTGATACGGAGGGGATCTTTGTGGGTAAACCCCCGCCCCCGGCACACACACACAGGAGCGCACAGCTTCTCCCGCAGCCAGGAGACTGCCTGGTGGGTGTGTCACTCAGCAGCACCTCAGGTGGTCGTCCCCACCCTCTCCTCTGACGTGCTGCTGCTGCTGCTGCAGAGTTTGGCTTGTACCAGGCGGTCCCTGAGAGGTTTGTAATAGGCGAGAGTGCGTAGCTGCCTACAAGACTGTGGGATGCAGACGAGAACCTCGTCGAACCCCACAGAGAACGTTCCAGGTGACATGTGCCCCTAGAGGACGTGCTGGCAGAGATGACCCCTGACTGCTTGGCGTTGCACTAACTGGCCCTTTCTTAAGTGGGAGACTATGGTCCTTAAGTAAAAACACTTTCTGTACCTAGTCATTAATTTTGTATGTGTTGTGCACAAACACACAGAAGTCTTTCCTTTTTGTCTTCGTACCAAAGAGCGTTTTTTTGTTTCATTTTTGCAACTACAACAAATTTAACGGAATTTCAACAAGATGATATTGACATCTTTAAGAAGTACAGGGGAATCATGTTATACTTACTTAATTTTTAATTTTCCAATTAGAGTTGACATTCAGAATTATTTTAGATTAGTTTCGGGTGTTAGACATCGTGGGTGGACGTTCATGTAATTTATGAAGTGCTCCCCGGGTTGGCCCAGGACCCACCTGGCACCATACATAGTTATTACAACGTCATTGACTTGGCCCCTGTGCTGAGCTTCACATCCCGTGACTGTTTTGTAGCTATCGATTTGTACTTCTTAATCCCATCACCTTCTTCACCCCAGCCCCTCAACCTCTCCCATATTTTGTTCTTTATGATTACTTTTAATTAACATGATTTCAACTACGTATTCTTCCTGTGATACAAAATGCTGTAAGTGTGGTTTACGGGTGTCCTCCGTCATCCGATGCCCTGCTGCCTGCAGTGCGTCTTTACTCATCCAGAGGTACAAGGCCCGTGAGCAGACACGGACTGAGCCTCAGAGGCCATTGATGGGCGTTTCCGTTCGGTTTTTGCTTTTCGTACTTTAGGGGATTAACCGCCAGACCTGGGAAGGCGGTAACTTGTCAGTGACAGCTGTCCGGCTTGGCGGGCTCTGAGCTGCGGGGGCTCTTGTCTCTCGTGTGGGGAGCAGTGTAGCCTGAGTGTTTGGTTCTCGCCATTGCCCAGTTTAACGTGTGCGGCACGATGCCCATCTGCGGGACTCTGAACGGAAAGCCAGCTTCCGGCTGCGAGGGTGAAACCGAGACAGGCGATCTAAAGACTCTGAAGCCAGAAAGGCTGGTTGGACTCGAGAAAACCCTGCAGCTGTCCACCGAGGGCTTTATAACCCTGACCTACGAAGGGCTCCACTCCACCACCAAAGGTGAGCTCAGAACCGGGTTGTTTTTGTCCTGACAGGTGTCCTGGCGGCTCTGTGACCATAACCGTTCCGAGCATGTACTGTAAGTGCCCTGCGGTCCTCTCAGAGCTGGCCCCCTCTGGCACATGTGCCCCACGCTGATGCCCCCTCAGTGCTCCCTGGGTCCCTCGGGCGTGACCCCGTACCCAGAGAGTGTGCATGGCCCCTGCTCGCTTGTCCCTCCTCCCAGGCGTCCTTCAGCCAGGCACCTCCAGTTCCTCTGGTGACACGTGCTGTGTTTTCACTTTTCCTTTTGTCCTGTTTCTTCAGGTAGTGAGGAGATAAGGGTGACAATAATAAAAGTTGTTTTGTTTTTTCCTAAATTTCTTTATTTCCTCCTCTTCCTCCGTTCAGCCTTCATCGTACCTTTAAATACAATTTTGCTGTGTTAGGTTTGTTAGCATCGTTACTCATTTCCGCAGCCGTGTTGTACGGCAGAAACCTGGTGTCGTAAAGTGCAAGGTCACGTCGGAGACCTCTGGGGGGACGGGGTGGTGGTAGCGTCACAGCTACGGCGTGTCGCGTGCTTCCTGTGTTGGAGTGCTGTGGGCCTGCTAGCCGGCCGCTTCTCACCCAGCCCCGTGCCTCTCACCCGCATTGGTGCTCACGCCCCGTGCTTAACAGGTGACAAAGGCCCTGGAAGGCCCTGCCCTGTGCCCTGGACAGAGCCAGCAGCCCATTGGTGGGCAGAGCCAGGGCTGGGGTCCAGGTCTCCTGGTTCTGATCTCGGCTCTGCCAGTTAGTGCATTTCTGTTTCGCGGGTGAGGGCACTGAGGCCCATGAGGTGCAGTGACTTGCCCAGGGCCACACAGCCAGTGAGAGCAGGGCTGAGATTCAAATCCACCTCTGTCTGGCTTGCGACCTGTGCTCTGCTCCCCCGCTGTACACCATGGTGGACTCCGGTGGGGGAGTCGCGTGGCGTGGTGGCTCCAAGTCTGAACGCCGTCTTAGCCGACGTCAGTAGAAGTGAGCATCTGGGCGATGGCTCTGCTTTCCTGAATTTGTGACCGTCTGCCGTCATCAGTTCATTTTGTGCTTGTGCATCACGCCTTGGGCTGGTAGATGCCGAAAACTCAGCACACCAGGAAGAGAACTGTTAGGACAGCAAAAGAATAATTTCAGGATTTAAGATTTGGGAATCATCTTAACTTCAAGGACAGAAAGCATGGGTCTGGGGGCTGCTGGGAGCTCTTCGAAGGACCGTGCTTTAGAAAAGGAATTAGGCTTGTTCTGCGTCACTTGTTGGGGAGGATTCGGACCAAAGGTGGAAGTTAGAGGGAGAAATTTAGTTTGTTAAAGGAGAACTTCTTGGAGCTGGGCGGCGATGGCCCTTTGCGTTACAGGTGGAACATGCTTTTGGCTCTTGGTCACAGAGTGGCCCGCTTGGTCACCTCAGTGCCCAGAAACGACGTGCTTCACTCTTTTTTAAAAATTCTTTCGCTCTCCAGTTTCAGAGCACTGCTTTAAAATGAGATAGATTAGGCACTTATGTATGATTTCTTTCTGCCCTAATTTGGAAAATAATCTGTCTCTTCCAGGGTTAGCGTTGTGGTCATGCGGCTACACCTGCTAACGCTGATCCACTGCTGGGTTTGAATCCAGGCTCCTGTACTCCCGGGGGCTCGGCTCATCTTGCTGTGTGGCCTTAGGCTTGTTCCTTAACCTCTCTTGGTTTCTGTGTCCTCCCGGATTCAGTGGGCATGGTAACATTACCGGCCGCCTCTGTGGAGTGTCATGGGAGTTAACATGTTGGTGACTGGGCGTCCTCAGTGCAGCCTTCAGCGCTCACACCACCGTGGTCCCCTGGCTGCAGGAGCCGTCTTGTTGGTCACCATGCTCTTGTCCTCGCCCTGCCCTTCTCCCTTGCCCCCCCATCCCATGTAGTCTGTGTTCAGCAGAGCAGTCAGAGTGGCATTGTCAGTGTTAGATCACGTCACTCCCAGCTCAGAACCTTTGGGGTGCCTCATGCACCCAAAGTAGAAGGCAAAATAGCGCCCTCACAGTGGCCATGGGACACCTGTGGCTTCTCTCTGCAGGTGTCACCTCGCTTAGTCTGCTGACCTCCTGGTTTTGAAACCATCGAGGCACATTCTCGCCCGCCCTCCCCTCTTGCCTCGATCCTTGCTCCTCCCTCAAGATGGCCACGTGGTTCGTTTCTTCACCTTCCGGTATTGGCTCAGTTGCCACCTTCTCAGATGCCACCTTGTCACACTCTGTCCCCACCACCTTTGGGTTTCTCATGCCTATCGCTGCTACTTTTTCCGTCATGACACTTCTCACCCCCTGGTCTGTCACAGACCGCGTTTCGTTGCTGACCCTCAGGGCCGCTGGACTGGAGCGTAAGCTCCTGGGGAGGCCAGGGTTTTCTTTCTTTCACTCCTGTGTGTGGTAGGAACTTGGTAAATGTTTTGATTAAATGAGTAAAGGACAATTACGTTGTTTCTCACATTCAGATGGATGAACAGAAGTTGCACTCGTGCGTTTTCTGGGATGTGAGGATGCCAGGACGGGTGCACAGTGTAAACCCAGCTTTCTGTAGGTCACTGTTGCAATGCATGTGGCCGCGCTCTGTGGTTCAGATCAGGCCCCTTGACACAGACCTGGTGCTGTGACAGCACTGTTCGGAGGGTGGCCTCGTTCACTGGTGGCGGTGTCCTGGGCCTGCACCGTGACTGCCGCTGCTTCTTACAGTCAGGCCTTCTTGTTCCCCAGGGGCCAGAGATGCTTTTATCATTCGATTTGTTTGCAACGATGACCTTTACCCAGGAACTGCCAAGTTCCTGCATCAAGACATTGATTCTGGCTTGGGGATCCGAAACACTTTCTTTGAAATTGAAACTGCGTTGGCCTGTGTACCTTCTCCAGTGGATTGCCAAGTCACAGGTAAGGCCAGGAGGATCAGGCACTGAGGGGCCAGTCAGAAGGGTGTGGGGGTGTGTGTGTGTGTGTGTGTGTGTGTGTGTGTGTGTGTGTGTGTGTGTGTGTGGGTGTGTGTGTGTGTGGTGTGCTTTATTACAGGCAGCGTGCCATTTGTGTTACACATTTTCTTTGATGCCCAGAGTTGTAATATTTCTCCTCAGAATCTGAGCATACAATTAATGGTTTTAAACTATGTTCTGGGATCAGAAGCTCCTTAAGAACAGAGAAGAAAACTTGGGGAAAAAAATTAAATCTATCATCAGAGCTTCTTATTTGGGGAAGAATAAAAGGTAAAGCTGTGTAGGGGGTGCCCTGGGTGCTGTACAGTGTCCCCGGGACCCCTCATTGTCTGCATGTTGGCCCGCACCTGCTCATCAATGGCACGTCATTGCGAACGGCAGTTTCGAGGGTCAGAGCGGGAGTAAGTTTCAGTGAAGCCCCTTGGCCTCCTGTGGGTCTCATTTCTTAGTATGAACATCACATTGGTGCATCACCGGTCTTCAGCCGGGGTTGACAGGTGGTGCTCCAGAGCTAACGAGACACATCTGGCACGTCTGCTGTGTTTCAGACCCCGCTGGGAACGAGTACGACCTGAGTGGCTTAAGCAAGGTCAGGAAGCCTTGGACTGCCGTGGACACCTCGGCCGATGGGCAAAGGAGAACTTTCTATCTGAGCGTGTGCAGTCCCCTCCCTTACTATATTCCCGGGTGCCATGGTGAGTTGAGAGCGTTTGACTCAAGTTCCATCTGCCTTCTCGCCCATCCCCCCACCCTAAACAAC